AAGGACTTTATCTTATTCACATGATAGTCTTAGTGTTGAGCTTATAATAGGTACTCAATACACTGTGGGGTAAAGGAACCATATGTCCTATTTTACACAAAACATAGGGAAAGAGGTTAAGTAACTTGCCTAACATATCACAGAGGCCGAACTCTGACTTGCAGTGATATCGCTATGGCATTAACTCTGTTTGAAATGACCCATACTTATGCACAATGCATAACAGAAAACCTCTGAGGTAAGACCATATCACCAAGCTCTTTTATTAAATATACCAGTAGTCTACTGAGGAGCACAAGGCAAAGCCCAAAAGACTAGCTTGCCAAAACTTTCTAAAGAACATGTCACTATTGGGATTGAGTGCTGAGCTTCCCAGAGACAAGCCTGCTACTGAACCTAACCTTCAACTGATGGTGATATCTCCTTGGACATGACCTTTTTTTAATGGATAGGTTGATTACAACTAACTCATGTTTTTATATTGGTTGTTATTAACAAAGAGATGCAGACACAAAGCCAGTATCCTTGCTGCTGTGTGCTGCCAATGTACATGAGGCTCAGACATCCAGAACTGCACATTAATTTGATTTTTAAAAATAGGGACTGCCAGCTTTAATAATTCAAGGCATAGATGTCTCTATCTTTGCACACAGGCTTCGTTAATCTTTGAAGACTAGGATAGAAATCATTTCTTTCATACAAAGTAAAAAATAAGTTTGCCTTAATTGTAGTCTTGTGTAGGTAGTTATATCCTAATTTTTCCCCTGGGAAAAATAATGGTCAATAATCTTAGTTATCCCCTGTAGTCCATAAAACAAATGGTATTTTCAAACAATTTCTGCCCCTCAACATACATGAAGTTCTACCATTTCTGATTTATTACTTTGGCTCTCTTAGGTCTTAGTCTTTTATTATTTGTCCCTTCAAATGCAAATAGCCAGGGCTTGAAGGCCCTCCCTCTTCAACCAGCACTACTCTTTAAAGAGTCTGTAAAATGCAAAGGGGTCTGTTCTCTGCATGGGGCCTTGAAGGCATGAGTGGTAGCAAGGATCACTTATCTCTGTAAGTGGTATCTATATGGACAAGATCAATGGCTCTTTTGATGAAAGGTGCCAGTAAAGATTTCCTGGGTCAGAAGGTTGACAATAGCATGCCTCCTGCTGAACTGACCCTTATTTACAGGGCAGAGTCAAACACAATACCGAGTGAAAGGAAGGCAGTTATGAACCAGAAGCATAAAGTCAAATTTCATGTCTTTGGATAGTTTCAGGATCATCTGAAGATGCTTTCACAGGCTGAGTCATCCTTAGAACTCACCATCAGTCCTATCCTTACTTTAGAACAGAATGGTTAAGGATTTGGGAGCCAGGAGACACCTGGATTTGAACTCCAGGTAAACAGATATTTGCCCTTATGCAGGTCACATATCCTTTGTGTCTTCATTTGCTTACCTATAAGTGGAGAAAATACCAGCCACCAATTTGTTGTGTTTGTGAGGATCAAATAAACTAACAGCTGTAAAATACTTAGCATGGTGCCTGACACATTCAGTCATTCAGTAAATGGGAGACTTATTTTTGCTAGTGGTCTTGTTACCTCCTTTAAGTGGAATTTAAGTTACTTCTTTGGCACTTAACCAGCTGTGAGACTTTAGGCATGGCAGTTCATATCTCTGAGTCTCAGTTCTCTCATCTTTCAAATAAGAATAACAACAGACCTATCCAGAAATGGTTATTAAGTTATGCACAATGACCAGTGCAATATTCTTAGCAGAGCACTTGTCATACAGTAAATAAACAAATAGTGATGCTATTATTGTTGGTTCCTCCTTTTCTTGACCAACAACATTTTCCTGGAATAAGAAATTTTTTAATAAAGAGAGAATATAGCAGTATGGGGGAGAATCAGAAGGAATGATAGGAATATCTGTTCTCACAGAGGAAGATGAGATATTGATAAAGCATCAAATATCATGACACATTACATAACTCATAATAGGAAGAACATATAAAATCAATGAAAACAGTAAAATACATGTTCATTTGCCCAGTTTGGAGTTACTGAAAGGGAGTAACTGATCGACTAATGTGGCCAATGGCACAATATTATGCTTACCTTTCACCCTACTGCATAAACATCACATATACTCTCTGCATCCTATACATAAACCAAAATTCCCCAAATTGGGTACTCAGTCCAGACACATTGAGAAAATATTTGTTGATTATAACACATACAAAACAAACATTCAGTACTTTTCATAGCAACTATAATTTCTGACAAAATAAAGTACAGAAAAACTAAAAAGACAGTATATATATATATATATATATATATATATATATATATATATATAAAACATTCAAGTGTTTACAATTACTCAGGACTGCCAATCTTGTGAATAATCTACAGAACACTTTTTAGAAAGTGAAAACTGGTAATATTTTAGTATGTGTCAGATACTGGTGCTTTAAATGGCCTCTTATTGTTTTCAAAGAACTTTTACACCCTGTGCAACAAACTCTCTAGACAGACCGTGAGCTAGTTGTAATCAGTAGCATGAGAATCCGAATAGCATACAAACATCACCAAGTCCTCAAATGGCTTAGTTCTATGGATGGTAAGCCCTTAGAAAATAAGCACAATGCAGTTTGTGGGTTAAAAGAACACATTTCCTTATGATTGACACAAAGTTTGATCTACCTAACTTTCTGTAAGGTCAAATGTAAACTACTCATTGTCTACTTAAACCATTTTTCTAAGAATTTCTATTCCAAATGCCCATTCTATTCCGAATGCTCAGGTATATTTATGGTATTGATTTTTGCTAAGAGCAGTTTTAGAGGAAACTGGTGACCTGACAGATTCAAGTCTTTAAATGGTTTTGCTTCCGCTGTTACTATGTTTTGATCTCTGAGGCTGGTTAGAAACAGAAAACCAAAATTAGAACAGATTCAGGTAGTTCAGGTAAAATTATGTGGACCATAATTTAAGTCACAGCTACAACTTAGCAGATGCTCAAAATAATCCTGCGAGGTACCCAAAAGTGTTTCATTTCGAATAGCTATTTTTTTTTTACTTGTAATAATCAAATGACAATCTATATTTTAGTCTGCTTTTCTATGTTCTTTGACTTATTTTTTTCTAAATTCTTGTTTCTTATTTTCTTCACGGAAACCATGTTCTTACTTTAGGGGATGGTGATTTTTTGAAAATTGATTTTTACCTATGTTTGGGAACGAGGTAAATGTTTTACCAGAATACAAGTGATTACTGAAGAGGATGTGCATGAATTCTCAGAGCTGTAATAAACTCACTGGTGGAGATAAATTGTGGTTCCTAGCTTTGATGGGGGGGGCGGTAGGAGGGTGGCGTAACAGCGTGACTGTTGTTTACGAGGAAACATCACACTTTAGTGAACCCTTTTTAGTGGCTATCAGTGATAGTCATTTAGAAAGGACGGATATTTGTTACATATTTTTATTTATACATTTCTCTTTTTTATTGCTATATGCTAGAGTACAGTGAGCACAGAATGGATGTGATGCTGCGATCTCTTGGCTATGTAAATGAGGTGCGCTGCAGTCACAATTCTCTGTATTCAAATTGGAAAATGCAAGTGCTTAAAAGTCAACTAAGCCTTTTCTATTTTGGTTTAGCCAAAGCAGTTGTAAATAAATATCTGTGCTTATGCATATGCTTTAAAAGCCTCTATAAAAATTTATCATCTACACATTAGAAGGTGTCTGTGCTTATGAAACAAAAGCGACAGTGACATTTTGTGCTGAAACATTCCCGCAAATGATGTTCAAACCAGGAATAAGTTTAGCATTGTTTAGTGTCCTTTATTCAATCATGGTCAGCTTAATTCAATCTTTGCTTAAGTATAACCTAAAGCATAGAAATGCAATCATTTTCTTTTTCCTTTCTTTTTTTAAAAGAGCATTCCTTCCTGATTTTAATCAATCTTAATCGCTTTAGCTAGGTATTAGGTAACCATATTACAGGCTAGAAAAGCTGGCATTTTCTTATTAAGGAAGGTCTAAAACCTTGACTAAAACCGAATTCAGTGCCCCAGGAATAAAAGCTAGCTCACAATTTTTCTGTTTTACTGTGGAAGGGAAAAGGTGCTAGGTAATGTTCCTGGAGTTTGGTGAATCTTAAGATCAGTTACTTATTTCGACAAAAATGGCAAGAGCAAACCCCAGTGTTACGTCAGGACGGCCATCTGGGAAAATGTTTTATGATTTTAATAACAGCTCTTATGTCTACCATACTTGAGTTTTCACACAAGCCTCCACAGCCACTCCCTGGCCACGGCAGCACGGGATGCAGTCCTGAGACGTCAATGGCCCCTTCTCCTCACCAGCATGCACATGTCATCATCCAGACGCCAGGCAGAGAGGTGACCCTACAACACCGCCAGCGGGATGGATGTGCACTCGGTGACCGATGTGGGCCGTCAGAATTGTCACATGCATCTTCTTGCCAGTTTCCCCTGGCAACCGAGCACTGGCCCAGCACTGGGGACGGAATGTGACTCTAGAATGGGTTATCTATGCAAAAGCCTTCAGGAGAAAAACCAGGTATCAAAACTGGAAGAGACCCTAGAGACCACTATTCCAACTCTCTCAGAAATGCCAAGACCAGGGTCCTGAGAGGAGTTGCAGTGGGTCCTCCAGCAGGCCAGGGGTGTGCCCCTTGCTGTGCAAGGCCAGAAGCTGGGTCCTCCTGCCTCCTGAACAGTAACTACTCCCGGGGCTCCTGAGCGTCAGCACCAGCCTTCAGCTGCCTTCAGTTGTGTAAGCTGAGGCCTGGTTCCTTGTCAGCGGTTTCCAGTTACCACTGGTAAAGGCTCATCAGCCACACTCCCTCATTGAGAGCCCAATCAGTGAGTCCTGCTGGCTGAGGGAATGGTTATAGGTAAAGGCCCAGCTTCTAGGCTGGGGCTCCTTTTCAGAACTAGGACATAATCATTTCTGGTTTTCGGTACACCTCAGATGCTGACCACTAAGAACATGACCGCTAACCTTTACACACCCATGGAAACCTCCAAGTGGAGAGACGTGCATTGTCTTGCACAAGGTCTCACAGAGGACTGTGGTCCAGTGAGTCTGGAGCTTTCCTGCAGCACCGTGAAGCCTAGGGCATCAGCTGACAGGGTAATGGGGTGGAGAGTTTTTAGAACTGGAAAATTTGAGAACAGAAGGTGCTCCATAGAGTCTCGATGACTCTGAAGGGCCAGCCCTGGTGTAAGACAAAGTGTGAGGAGGCTACTCATTTTCTTAAACTGACTTGCACCAAGTAGCGACATCTGTTTCCCACTGTTCTCATTGTCTGGCCTGAGACCTGAACTGGTGCTGCTGAGAAAGCTAGTTAGAACTCCAACTATGCTATGTTCTGCCCCAATCGTTATCACCTGGGTGCCGAGCTGTAGAAGAAAATTGTTTGTTAGAACCACTTAGAATTTACACAGATGACACAGGTGACAAGAGGTCCAGGCAAAGGGCTCTAAATCACTCAGCCTCATGCTGCCATTTTGCATTGACCTCAGAAGCAGCAATTAGTGCTGATTGTGAGGCAAGAAGGGAGACCCTGGCATCCATCCAGAGTTGAAAGAGAAGACTTTTACACTTCAGGTAATGAGTGTCTCAGTCAGCCAGCTGGAAGGAGTTGGGCAAGGCCAGCCAGAACACATCCCCCTACCAGGAAAGGTGAGGTACACAGTGCTAAGGAGGAGGCGCCTCCCGAGGTGCGACATGGATCATTACTCTGACTCTACATGCTGTGTCATTGTTGCATTTAATAGTTCAGGGACAAGCAGGAGAAAGAGACTGTGAAATCTGTAGGTGAGAGCGGGCTCTGAATGAGGTGTGCAACTGTGGTGGTGTGAGTCTGCATGTGCTGTGTGTTCTTTGTGGCCTGAAGAAAGCATTGTGAAGGCATGGGCGCTACAGGGTGTGGGGGTGGGAGGGGCGCCAAAGAAGGGGACGTTCCACTCCCCCATGACTCAGCTAGGGGAAGGGGACAGTGACTAGTACAATTAGCTTTGCTGACGGGTATTGAGGGGCCTGACTCTAAGACAAAACATCATCCTTATCAGAAATCGGAAACTTTCTGAGCTTGCAGACCACCGCCACTGTGAAACAGGCAGTCCACACCTTCTTCAAGTTAAAACGAGGTTACATCCCGGTAAACCCATTGTTAGGTTGAAAATGCATTCGAAGCACCTACCGTGCCAAACATTACTTAGGCCGGTCCGCCTTAAATGTGCTAAGAGTAATGACATCAGCCTTGAGTTGGGCAACATCATCTAACACAAAGCCTGTTTTGGAATAAAGTGCTGACACCTCATGCAGTGTACTGAATCCCTTACTGATAATAAACAGGCTGCTGTTTACTCTGCTCATGCTGGCTGAGCGGGAGCTGTGTTTTGCCGCCACTGCCCTGCATCCGGGGCAGCGCCGTACCGCAGATCACCAGCCCAGGAAAAGAACAAAATTTGAAATTCAAAGTATGGCTTCTACCGGAGGCCTATTGCTTTTGCAGCATTGTGAAAGTCAAGCAATCAGCAAGTCAAACCATCAGAAGTCCGGGACCAAATATATCACTTCCCTGTTTCAGTGGATGACAAATAGAAGCATTGTGTGTTTCAAGTGCCGTTCCTGAGGCTGCCCAACAAGGAGATGGCACAGTCACATCTGACAGGCCACCTGGCTGCGCAGCTCACATGATGGCACTTTCTCCACACTCTCTTACTTACCCTCCCTTTTCAGCCCCACTGTCTCAAAGGCCTAAACTCTCCTTGCACAGATGAGGAAATGGAAGCCAGGAGAGGAGAAGCAGATTGCTCTGGACCCAGGAAATCATTGGAAGAGCCTGCTGTTTCCACACACCCTGCTCTGGCTTTGATGCTGGGCAGCCACCTCGTCGCTGAGCTGAAGGCAAATGGAATCATGTAATTAAGTTTCCTTTGTCATTAGTGTTGCACATGGGGGTACATTCTGCTTAATGCTTTGCACGTATGCACCTTTCTAAGTATTCCAATCTACAGGCCTTGGTGTATTAGAGCAAAAATGAGTCTGATGAATCAAGTGAAAAACCTCAGAGGACACAAATCCAGGAGGGTTACTGCCTTTAAAAAAATAGTCAAAGTGCTAAGGCAGGGTCTGTGAGAAGACTGGAGGCTAAGCCATAGGAATATGAAGATTCGTTTATGAATGGCTCTTGGTGATAGGACAAAATGAAATGAAATATAAGCAACTGTAAAATTGCTTTTCAACTGACAATTTTACGCTGTGTAGCCATGTGTAGATAAGCACAACAGGACCACAAATGGTGGGCCAATGTTTTTGAGCATCTCAATGGCCAAACTGGACTGACTGTCAAATGCTGACTGTTTGTGCATAAACCAGGCAAGGCTGCCATCTTCAAGATGAGTCACCTGGGATAAAGTATCCCCAGCTGAAGCTGTGAGATCTCTTTCTAAAGTTCTGGAGCAGCATATGGCCTATCTTGTTGTCTACTAACTTGGAAATATGATGTTTTTAACGAGAAGCAATTCTAGACTTGGAAGAAATAGATCTAAAGCCCAGCTTGTAAATCAGGAGTGCACATTATGCATTTTATTCTGGAAATGTGGCAAATGAGCCCCAAAATGAACTCACTATATAAATCAGTGGATAAGCCAATTTCCAGAAAACTGTCAAAACAGCCATGGAAGATAAGAAGCAGCTTGTTTAAGAGTACAACCTTGAAAACTGGCTAGGTTCCTCACCTCATGCCTGCTAACAGAACAGAAGACTGGCAGTTCGGGTAGGTGAGAACAACTTTGGTCTAAAAAAAAACATTTCAACAGAAGTTATACCATGATAACTGCCCTCTGCTCTCTGGAAATGGCAGGGGGCGGGCAGGGGAGACTGACAGTGCCTTCTGACATACAAGAGATATACTATTTTAAACACTCTTTTATTTTTGAAAACAGCAACAAGAATTTAGTATCATTTGTCAACAAGTAGAAGGACGGGAGAAAGATGAACACAAAGGATTTGGAAGTTGGACAAGAAGACAACTTCTTCCAAATATTTTCAGTCCTACTTTTTGCAACATCAGGCTAATGTGCAAAAAGACACCAGATCTGTAGCAAACAAATGATGCTTCTGAGACCTTAATTGTTATTTAAAATAATTAGAAATGCAGTGAGGACTTGGGAACATAATGGTGGTTAATCACCTTGATGGCTTCCAGTCTGAGAAGTGCCACGCAGATTCGCAGACTCCGCAAGGATTTTGATCTATTTCTTTGTGCACTTCCCAACTCTTACATTAAAACAAACCAAAAACCACTGCTGCTTATCCTATCAAATCGGAAAGACTTTCAAACTATTATATGTAAAATTTGGGAAACATAATTATATTATCCCAAAAGCTTACATAGGACTCAACTGTATTCAAATACAAGCCTTCATTCGAGTCTTGAAAACATCCTTTCACCTATGTAAGGCAGTCACTGTTGTTACCATTTTACAGGCAGAGAACCGAGGCCGCAAGACATTCCGCGAGTCATTACTAGCATCTGTGAGTGAGCAATAGAGCTAACCCTGAGCCATGTCTCCTGGCTGCCCTGGGTTATGTCTCATTGTGCAGCAACTCGATTTTCAACACTGGTGAGTGCAGGGTAGAAGCCACTGATTGAGGTGAATTAACCATTCATTGTCACATTTCCTTCTGCCCAGTAAGAGGGAGCTGGGAGAGACTGGGAGGATGCTATGTGTGAGCACAGCTCCCCCTGGCTGCAGTGAGCCATGGCCCAATTGGGAGCCCAAGTGCACAATGAAAATGTGAACTCCTGGTTCAAAGATCATTAAAATGTTAACAACAGTAGCCAACACATTCAGGGAAGGCCCAGACCGTTCTAGCATGGGCTCTGTATGACCACACAGGCCACAACAAAGGAGGCTGACTCTGGTCACTCCTGGCACATGCCCAGCACAACAAAGGTGAGAGTTTGGGAAACTTGTTCTCAGGCACTACTGGCAAAGTGAGCAGAGTGCCTGAAATGACCAGGCCAGAATGCTTAAGAGAAACTGCTGAGAAGTTTCCATGAAAAAATATAACCAAAGCTCCAATAAAAGAAGCAAAAGATAGCTGTGTGAACACAAATGAGTGATGAGAGTTGATCAAATATGATGCCAAACAGGTATGAGGCAGTCAGAATACCAGTCACAGTAGTAGCAGGCTGGAGATTGAGCTGAGTGACCTGCGACTCCCTCCAGCTCAACCTGTCAGGCGTTGAAATCAGGAAATATGGGAAACGTGATTATGCCAGTGATTCCCAGAAGCTCAGAAGCTGGGACCAATGTCATTGGAGAAGAAGCCAGTTCCTCCTCAGCAGAATCTTCCAAAGCTTCTGAAAGTGCTGTCTTTCCTGCATGGAGCTTTGCATTTAATCCCAGTAACAGGGTTGTGCACACCCTACTGATGTCTCTGATCATGGATTCTGTGAGGTTTCTGTTGCTGAAGGGAAAAGTTACATGGGTCCTGGGTGCAAGGCACCGAGAAATAAGAAGAAAAGATAATGCTTTACCTGCTAAGATTGAAAATAGTTGCTTAAGAATCAGGAGTTCAGACAACGGAATGAAACCAACCTCTGCTATTTAAGGACTTTGTGATCTAGCAAAGTCACAGATCTTTCTAGCATTGGTTTCCTTCACTGTAAAGTGGAGATAACTCCTGTCCCATCAGGATGTTGTAAGGAATTAACAAAATCATTAGTGTAATGAATTACTTAGCATAGTACCTGGTATTTGGTGGCTGTACAATAAATGCAGCCGTTGTTATTAGAAGAATTAAGCAAGTATGTCCAATATTAGGATCAGATCTTTCTACATGAGAAATATGGCTGTTGAAATATCAATTATGTATAATCTCGGTATGTCAAATGTCAAGCTTGTAAAAATATAAGCCTTGTAACAGCATCTCAACTTGAGAGTTTAGAGTTTGGGGAGTCATCCCAAATTGTGTCAGCACAGTATTTTAAACATATTTTATAATATCTTATGAGTTTTCAACTAAAAATACTTATTTAACATGAGGTTTTTCATGGCATTCCATAAATAACTATAACAGTCTGATGAAATAAAGTGTGTGTGTGTGTGTATATATGTGTGTGTGTATGTGTGTGTATATGTGTGTGTGTGTGTGTGTGTGTGTATACACAGGGACTAGGATTGGAGGGCAAAATTAAAAGAACTGTGCTGTCAGGGACAAGAGCTTAAAATTCACTTTAATGTAGAATCATTCATTTAGCAGTGAATAGTATTTTAGGTACATTAGGTTTAAAGAAGGAATGATATTCATAGGAATATAAGACATGTTTACTCATGCATAATTTAAAAAATAAATCAATAGTCACCTTGTTCTTATATTTCTTTTGAAACATGAAATTAGAATAAGAGGTCGAATACTCTAAATCAATGAAACCTGCCTATTGATTTTAAGTAAACAACAACCTTTGATCTTTGCTTTTAAAACAGTGTACTATTTTCCATAAATAGCCATATCCAAACAATGGTTCTTTGCTTTGTCCATTTCTTCTTCCTGAAATTCACATTTCAGGCTTTGGCTCCATAAACACATTACATGGTCATTCGACCAGCACTACTATAAGCAGCCACATCTGGAAGTCAAATAAATACTTCCAAAAAGCTATTTGTAAAGTTTATCCCTTTCCTCTTCCCTGTAAAATCCTCAGCTGTGCCAACTGACTTTAGGATAAAGTACAAAGTCTTTATTTAATGGCTCATTCATGGTCTTGCACAGTGGGATGCCTCTTTCTTCAATATTGTCTCCTATTACTTCACAGTAACTTACCCTCCTTTCTCTAAGATAGACTAAGGATGTGAAACAATAAAATACATGGAAGAAAACATAGTAATGGGTCTCTTTGATGTCCGTGCTGTGTTTGCCAATGGCAACAAAGACACAAGCAATGTAAATGAGACTACATCAAATTAAAACAATGTCTGCACAGTGAGAGAGACTATCATTAAAACAAAAAGACACCCCATGCATGGAATGGCAGAAAATACTTGTCAATCATATATCTGACAAGGGGCTAATTAATATTCAAGAAGTACAGAAATCTCACACAACTCAACAACAACAAAAAACAGTAACCCAATCAAAAGTGGACAGAGGATCAAAACAGAAATTTCGCCATGAAAACATACATGGCCAATAGACACATGAAAAGACGGTCTACATTATCATTAGGAAAATGAGCATCCAAAGCACAATGAGATTTCTTCTCACATAAGTTAGAGCAATCATTATCCACAAGTCAAGAAGCAGTAAATGCTGGCAAGAATGTGGAAGGAGAGAAACCCTTGTCCACTATTAATTGGGACGGTCATTTTGGAAAATGGTAGAACTACCGTATTATCCAGAAATCCCACTTGTGGGATGAGAGGGTGACCCTTACTATGCCTCCCTGAGGTTTGTGTACAGCTCCCCTGTGCAGGAAGCACATCCCCTTCCCATGCAAATATGATCCTTGGGCAATCTTAGTTTCTCAAAGGATGTTCTTTCTTCTGAAAGTCTTGGAATTGGAAGATGATCAGAAAATCAGGCAGATCAAGTTGGACACAGATTAGTGGCAGCCCTCCACACCCTCCCTTATTGCGTGGCTGAGAGCCATGTCTACCCGCATGGAAATCTGGGCCTTAGTTCATGAACCCCGGTGCTGTGTGTAAAAGATAAGGTTTGCTGCTGCTAGCTCTAATTCGGTGAAGCATCTAACTGGGTAAAATCCTTGACATATTCTGACACGGTCCACTTCAGCAAACCTCCACTCCCCATGGCACACCTCCTTGGCTGGTTAAGAACAACAGCAGATGGGCACTGAACACTGAGCACCATCCAGTGAACCCTCAGTAGTTATTTCTGCCTGCAGACTGCCTCTTTCTCCTGTGGCAGCTCCCATCATCTGCTGACATGGCCTCTGAGTCACTTGCCACTTCAGTGCGTGCACCAGCTGCGGGGGGTAGGGGGTAGTCTCCAGAGGTGCTGAGGGAGGACATTCTGAAATGAAGAATTTGCTACAGCGATCTGAACAGGGCTGCTTGGAAAGGGGCTGCCTGTGCATGTTAGCGCCCAGTGGACACCAGGACCCTGTGGCCATGCACCAGGGCCAGTGCTAAATACATGGGTCCTCTGAGTGACTTCCTGTGAAGTGCCATAAGCTCAGTGTTGTTATTCTCCCCATTTCACATTAATTTATTCATCTGTTCCTTCAACACATAGCATCTTCTATCCTCTCCTGAAAGCAATGACACAGACTAGAGTGAGAAAGGCAAAAGACAGCAGATAATGGCAGAAGGGTTCTGTGGTTCTGTGCATCTGAGAGGCCCAAGTCACTTGGGGTCTGGGGACTCAATGCAGCACTGAAGGATCTGGTAGGTAATCCCACACCTAGGTGGCTATGTAAGAATAGATGGTATGTTAGCTTGTTGCTCTGGCAAAGCTACTCTAAGAAATCCCCTCTGCTATTGGCCTAAACTATCTGGATTGACTTCCAAAGAAGTAATCTGAATGGCTTGGCTCTTCTTTCTCTCACTTATGTGAAGTGTATGTGGATACTCTCAGGGAATTACAGAAAGTCAACTGCATCCCTCTCCCCCCTTCTAGCTGTCAGAAGCTCTGGGAAGCTTGGAGGTCTTGAGGTTGCTCAGGCACAAGGGCCCAGGCTGCAATCGAAATGTGAGACACCCATGAGCTTAGGTGGTGTCTAGTGGGTTAGACCACTGCTACTAGAAAATCTGTTCTCCCCCTGAGACCTTGAGGCTGACCTCGGCCCTACCTTTCTTGGCCAGACTCGAGCTCACAATACTATGGGTGAAATAAAACCTGATGTCTCCACTTGCTTTGAAGCAGGGGGTTGGCTGAGGCCAAGCCTTACAGCATTTGGTCAGAGTTTTGGTGGAAGCTTTAAGTTACAATGTCCCTCTCTCCCTGTACCCACTCGGGAACAATGAAGGACCTGCTGGTGCAAGAAAAATGCAGGATTTGGGAACTAGTTGCCAGGATACCCAAAGCACCAGTCCCATTAAAGAGGCCTCCAGGTAAAGGAAGACAGTAATCTCCAGATGCTGCATCAATCACTTCTAACCACTGTGAGAATAGGGGGTACTTTTTCTTCTATAAACCCTTGGAATACTGACAGAAGGGTCATGACTGAGAGGGGGAGACCCTAGCTTAAGGTCCCTGAGAAGGGCCAGGGGAGGAAGACAGATGTCCCACTCACACTATCATCCTTGAGTGGGTCAGAGGAGCAGAGAGAACATAGGACCCCTGAAGGGCTCTGAAGGGACACGGGGGTTGCTTTATGCTCAGTAAAGATCAGAGAAAGATTAAATCTGCAAATCGGCCAGCATGTGGCAGGTGCTGTGCCAGAGGGTAGACGCTTTCATTTAATTCTCCAGTCAATTCGAAGCATGAGCTCTTATTATCTTGATTCTGTAAATAAGAAAAATGATACGCAGAGCCAGAAGTCGCTCGTGGAGAGCCCTCGCTAGCGAGTAGCCATGTCCCCA